GTAACGTTCCCGGTCGCCAGTCATTGGATTGTGGGGTTCGAATCCTGGCGGGGTGAGGTGTTGATTGTATGTAGAAGTCCAAGGTACTTTATTGGGTTAATGACATATATATATATATATATATATATATATATATATATATATATATATATATATATATTGTTATGAACCTCTTTCGCCACATACCAGCTTCCACCGCCACAAGTCCAGAAAACAGTGAGGGCAAACTTTTTCGAATTGAAAATTGTGAACTTTTGGAACAATCTGCCAGAGAGTGTTGTGACGACACCGAGTGAGAGCTCTTTCAATGCCAGAATTGACCAACACTGGAGTAGGTTCCCATTCATTCAGGAGCCAGTTCATCCCCAGTACTTGCCAACAATAGTGCGTAACAGAGACGTGACCGACCGCCCAAGCAGCCAACGAGCCGATCAGTGGTGAAGAGGATAAAAGTAAAAGTAGAAAGTAATAAAAAAGTAAAGATGCAAAATCTTTTCACTCAATTTACATCGAGTTTTAACATTTTAAGACTTAATACATATATACAGATGTTCACCAATCATCAGACTTTCTCACACTATAACTGAAGTAATATAACAATCAATGATTACTTCCCAGTTCTAGTGTTTATCTAAAAGTTGGTCACCAGCAGGTTTATCCATGCTCTTTCCTCGCATAGGGATAGTTAGACTATTTTATGCTATCTATTGTCGGCTGTATCACTGTCAGGATAAATATTAAACAAATCAAAGGCAGCATTTTTATAATAATAATAATCTATGCCTCATTATTTAAGATCATGAGAAGTTTCCAGATGTTCGTATATGTGGCAGCTGTGGTTGTAATTGAGTTGCCAATGCATTAATATAATTTACTTAATTATTTAAGCACATATACGAACATTTGGAAAATTCTCGTGATCTAAAATAATGATGAATAGTTTATTATACAAACTCTACCTTTGGTTTGTTTAATATTTATCCTGAAAGTTATATAGCCGAAAAGAGATCCACCAATCACAATCACCATTACATACAACCTTACTTTATCTCGTATTGCCACGTAAAATTGCGAGTAGAGAGACCCAGGTGTTTGATTATTTTCTGTCCCAAGCAGCAGTTATTTTGGCAAGTTTAGGGAGATTTTCGTGTATATGTATTACTTATGCAAGAATATTTTAGAATGTATGGCATAATTTTTATTATGATTTATTTCTTATTGTAAGCCTCGATCAGAGTAGACTGTTCTAGAATCTCCCAGGGATATCTGGATTGTGCTAGGTTGTTCACTTATCGTCTGATGATGAGGTATATAAGCGCCAGTGTGCGGCTGAATTAACACTGAGAACTGCACCTCGGCGAGGCAAGATCTTCTCTGCTCCCGAGGTACTACGTGAACCTGACGATGCTGACCTGTGACCAGGCGAGGGTCGTGAGACTGTATCCAGTCACTTGACCTTCGCGCAAGCAACTAAACCTCCTTGTCCTAAGGAAGTTTTTTGACTCATTAGGAATCACGGGGGTGACAAGGGTCGTCCGCAGACCAGTGAGTGGTGGCCTTATCGTCACCTTTGCGGAATGGGGAGGCCCAGCAAATAGCCAACATAACAGAAATTAACGGGATCCAGATACAAGTGGAAGCTCGCACAGAGGACAACTTGGTGTTGGGAGTCATCTCCCACACCGAGATAGAACATCTTGAAAAAGAAGAACTGGCCGAGCTGATCGGAGACCAGCTCTCAATAGTACGGAAGCTGACCAGTGCAACTGCACTGGTTGGTTACCCCAAGAATCTACCAAGCACCGTATTGGTGGGATGGGAGAACATCCTAGTAAGACCGTATGAAAGAAGACCAACAAGGTGTTACAAATGCCAAAGGTACGGCCATCTGGCAAGGAAGTGTCGAGCTCAGGAGGTCTGTTGCAGTTGCGGGACACCCGGACACCAGCACACCAACTGCTCGGCGGCCGCCAAGAAATGCGCAGCTTGTGGTGGCCCTCACTCCTCCGACCAGGAGTGTCCCAAGTGGAGGGAGGAGTGTAGGGTGGCCAAGCTGCGAAGCAAGAAAAAACTGAGCTACAAGGAGGCTCTTCTTGTAGTGAAGACCGAAGAAAAGAAGAATCAAGCCCCCAACAAGACCACAGAAAAGAAAGTTCAAGACCCCAAGAAGACCACAGAAAAGAAGCCAGAATTAAACAAAACCGAAGAAAAGGATTTAGTAACATTAAAATCATCACCGTTTTTAGACTTTTACGAAAATATACCAGAACAAGGCCAAGAAGAAGAATGACAATTGAAAAGTAAAAAGAACAAAAGGAAGAAGTCCAAAGAAAATGACTCAGGAAACAAACAGCTTCGGCCGAAATAGCCTAAAGACGAAGTGGCCGGTAATACCCAAAACAAGTACAAGCTGACTTAGTAGAATAACTGAAGATAATTAATGTGCAAGTACTATGGAATTGTTTTGATTAATATAAAGTGAAAAGATTAAGGAATTGTACAATGATATTGTGCTGACTATTCGAAGTGAGAAGTCCAGCTGTGAAGACATTACCATGTGTACAGTGTTGTGAAGAATCAGTGGCTGTTAATGAAGACTACAGTGCACAAGTGTGTTTCTGTGACCCGGTGGAAATCTACCTGCCTATTACTTGCCTGTACACTGATACCGATCGTCGGGAAATTACCTGAGACTGGCGGGAACATCCTGTGGTAATTCGACGACACTTGTGATATCTACTACTTTTCCACATATACCCTGGCCGCTGGTAACCAGTGGTGGAAGCTGGGTAAGCAGTGAAAGGGGGAAGGTCGTAATAGTGGGATAGCCTAGCAGGAAGATATTAGTCAAGAGGGAAGGTAACGGTGTCCAGACCAGAAGCCAGGCCAGGCAGAGGGAGATTTCCATGGCTGATCTGATGCAATTCTTACACGCACGACGAGAAGAACAAAAACAATTACAAGAACAGCTACTGTACCATCACAACAATAAGAACAGAAAGAGCAACAAACAAGGTTGCAAGAACAGCTACAAGAATGAGAAGAGCAGAAACGTGAAAATTTGCAGCTGCAAGTGATAATTCAGGAACAACTGCAATACCAACGAGAGTAGCAGAAACATGAAAATGTGCAGCTTCAAGTAAAAATTCCGGAAGAACAGCAGGAGCAGAGATAAGAACAGAAGCAACAACTGCAATTGATGCAGGAAGAGATCGACAAGAAAATTCATGAACAGGATAAGACTCTGCACGTGATGTGTAACAGATAGGATGATGCGTTTCATGAGATGCAAGTTGAAGTGGGTGAAAATTGAAACAGTGCAAACAAAAAGTGAGTGATGAGATCACAGAGGTACGAGAGGAGCTAACAGTGGTGAACAGTGAGCTATTAAAGTCGGTAGCAGGATGGAGGCTCTGGAGAATTGTCTAGCAGCAGGATATCAGCCAAGATCTAGTGACCCCTATAATTGTGATGGAGTGCATAAAACATCGTTTGTACATGCTCCGAGTGGAATGCATACTGTAGTGTTGAAAATTTTGGAAAATACGTTGAGCGTGAGAGAAAAGGAAGTGTTGAGCTGAACTACAGGGCACCTGAGTTCAGACCCCGAGCTACGTCAAGTGAAGTGATGAAATATCCAAGACAGCCTGTGAAGAAGAAACCACAAGAATTTGATGGCGAAGTTTCCTGGGAAGCATACCAAGCACAATTTGAGTTACGAGTGGAACAAAACGAATGGGACAACAAGTAGTGTGCAATGCAATTAGCCACGAGTATTAAAGGCGCTGCTATGGGGGTTCTCAGCCAGTTCACAGGAGCAAAGCGAACTAGTTACATGTCACTGGTAAAGGTGCTGGAACGAAGGTATGGAACCAAGCACCAACATGAGGTTTATAGGGCCAGATTCCGTACTCGTACCCGCAATCGAGGTGAAACGCTGCATTAGTTTGCTCAAGACCTGTTAAGTATGGCTCATAGGGCGTACCCTGGAGCATCACCTGATCTGTTAGCCGTAGTGTTGAGGGACCAGTTTGTGGACGCATTGAACAGCGTGCAGCTCAAGATTCAGGTGATGCAGTCCCAACCTGAAACTCTACAGGAAGCTTTGGCTAGAGCCCTGGAGTTTGAATCTTACATGAGGTCAAGTTTACCAAGCTTCAGGACGGAATCTAGCACTGGGTTTAAATCAGGAAAGGGCCAAGTGCATGAGATAGAGAGATTTAAAGGAACTTGCTGGTATTGTGAAAAGATTGGTCACAAACAGGAGGACTGTTACAAGCGGATACGAGAGCGAGAGGAGGGCAATACAGAGAAGAACGAGGAGAAGAAAGCATGTTGGACGGTTGGAGAAGATGGACACATCAAGACTAAGTGCCCACATAATTCCAAGGGAGGGAAAGAAGAGCAGCTAACTAAGAAGGGAAACTAGAGATGGCTGATGCTGAGAGTCAACGATCAGCCTGTCTCACCAGAGCCCCGCTATTGGCAAAATGCAACCGAGCCACTGTAAGCAGTTTTCAGGTTGAAGGTGAGATCGATGGCGTAAGGTGTCCGATGGTGATCGACACAGCCTTGGAGCAGACTTTTGTGAGGTCGGACGTGGTTAGTCATCAAAAACTACCTGAGACGTGGCAACAACTGTGTGGGATAACTGGACACTGCGCAGGGCTAAAGGGACCAGTGGATATCAGCATCAAGGTAGGAGTGGAAGAAGAAACCCTACAGGTTTATGTAGCGCATATAGCAGACCCTTGCATCCTGGGCCTGGACTACCTCCTACCTCGCAGGTGTCAACTGACCCCGGTTCGATCCAATTGAAAATTAAAGGAAAGTGGGTACCGCTGAGGACTGTGAAGCATGCAAGTGCTAAGATTACAGCTAGGCGGACAGTAGTTATTCCCCCAAGATCAGAGGTGCTGTTGCCGTGCAAGGTGAACAGTGCCTTGCATACCAGTCTGGGAATGGTGAATCCTGATGGTGTCGAGTATTAAGATGGAGTGATGGTGGGAAGAACCTCAGTCGATCCATCTGCAGAGAAGGTACCTGTAATTGTGGACAGTTTCTCTCTCCGACCAAAGAAACTACAGCCGGGAATGGCCGTTGGACTGTGCCAAGAGGTCGAACAGGAGCAGCAACCCAGGATCTGCATGAGGAGCGTGGTCAAACAGAAAAATGGTCTGCCCGACCATTTGCAGGACTTGTTTGCCAGGAGCTCCTAGTGCTTGGATGAGTCTCAAGTGTTACAACAGTTGTTATTGAAGTATACGGACGTCTTCTCTGCAGGAGACCTAGACCTGGGTTGTACAGACCTAGTACAGCATCACATCGATACTGGGGATCACCGCCCGATCAAGCAGCCGCCTCGGAGGATAGCACCAGCTCGTCGCCAGGAAATGGAGAAAGCGGCAGGGGGCTTTATTCACCAAGGTCTGGTCGAAAAGTTCCATAGTCCGTGGGCGTCAGGAGTCGTCCTAGTGAGGAAGAAGGATAGCTCAATTTGGTGCTGTGTGGACTACCGCGCCCTCAATGACGTGACGGTTAAGTAATCCCACCCTTTGCCAAGAATCGATGACACACAGGATGCCCTGACAGGCGCCATGTGGTTCTCAACACTCGACATGAAGTCTGGGTATCATCAGGTGAAGATAAACGAGGAAGACAAGGAAAAGACAGCATTCTCAAATGGGCAAGGGCTAAGACAGTTCAAAGTTATGCCATCCGGCCTCTGCAATGAACCAGCTACCTTCGAACACCTCATCGAAAAGGTTCAGGAAGGCTTGCACTGGAAGACTGCCCTGATATATATGGACGACGTGATTGTCTTTGGCTAAACTTTCAAACAGGACTTGAGGAGGGTATCGGAAGTGTTTGACCGGTTTTGGGCCGCACATCTTAAATTGAGCCAAAAGAAATGTTACTTGTTCCAGAAGGATGTTCAATATCTGGGACATATAGCAAGTGAAGACGACGTAAGCACAGATCCAGAGAAGGTGGGTGGTAATATATATATATATATATATATATATATATATATATATATATATATATATATATATATATATATATATATATATATATATATATATATATATATATATATATATATATATATATATATATATATATATATATATATATATATATATATACTGGTTATCAGAATATACCTGAATCACGCACCTACAGTGATTTACTATATATATATATATATATATATATATATATATATATATATATATATATATATATATATATATATATATATAAGAACATAAGAACATAAGAACATAAGAAAATAAGGAGTCTGCAATAGGACGGTTGGCCTGTGCATGGCAGCTCCTGTCGAGAGTTACTACCACTCTCTATCATCCATGAATCTATCTAGCCTCCTTTTGAAACTTTCCAGAGTTCCCGCACTTACTACAAAGTTGCTAAGCTTGTTCCACTCGTCCACCACCCTATTTGTGAACCAGTTTCTTCCTATCTCCCTCCTAAACCTAAACTTATCCAACTTGAATCCGTTGCTCCGAGTCCTATCCTGCTCGGATATTATAAGAACTTTATCTATATCCCCTTTATTGATTCCTTTCACCCACTTAAATACTTCTATCATATCTCCCAGCACTCTTCGTCTTTCTAGGGAATGCAAGTTAAGTTTCTTTAACCTATCCTGATATGGAAGGTTTCTAAGTCCCTGAATCATTTTTGTCATTCTTCGCTGCACCGACTCTAGTGAATTTATATCCATTCTATAATAGGGGCACCAGAACTGAACCGCATAATCGAGGTGCGGCCTAACTAGCGCAAGATATAGTTGCAATAAGACCTCTGCACTCTTGTTACTTACACTTCTAGATATAAAACCCAATACTCTGTTTGCCTTATTTCGAACATTAACGCACTGTTTTCTAGGCCGTAGGTCCGGGCTTACAAGTACCCCTAGGTCTCTTTCACAAGTCGACTTCTCTAGGTTGATGTTGTTCAGGCTGTATACATTATAAGTATTTGTTCTTCCAATATTAAGTACGCTGCACTTGCTGGTGTTGAATTTCATTTGCCATTTTTCAGACCACCCTGCAGTTTATTTAGATCCTCCTGTAATGCATTTGCATCCTGCCCTGAATTAATTTGCCGCCCTATTTTGGTGTCATCCGCAAACTTGCTTATGTCACTGCTGATCCCAGTATCTAAATCGTTTATGTAGATTATGAACAAGAGTGGGCCTAGTACTGACCCCTGGGGAACCCCACTGGTTACACGGCCCCACTCAGATTTAACACCATCTACGCTGACCCTCTGCGTTCTATCGGTGAGCCATGATTTTATCCAATTTAAAACTTTCCCCTCGATACCATGAGCCTTAATTTTTCTCAGAAGCCTCTGATGCGGTACTCTGTCAAATGCTTTGCTAAAGTCTAAGTAAATAACATCGTAATTTTCGTCATTATCTACTACCTCGAAGACTTTCCTAAAAAACGTTAGCAGATTTGTTAGACAAGATTTTCCCTTTGTAAACCCATGTTGAGAGTCGTAGATTAATTTGCTTTTCTCTAGATGCGATCGATGCTATCTGCTATAATTGATTCAAGAAATTTCCCCACTACTGACGTCAAACTGATCGGCCGGTAATTTGACGCTGATGCTCTGTCTCCCTTTTTAAATATGGGTACTACATTCGCCTGTTTCCACAACTCTGGCACAACTCCAGTGTCTAATGATTTTGTAAATAAATTTACGAGGGGTCCGCTAATCTGTTCCCTACACTCTTTTAAGACTCGAGGAAAAATTTCATCCGGCCCTGGGGATTTTGTGTTCTTTAGTTTATTTATCTTCTTAAGAACATCCTCTTTTCTGATGGTGATATTCTTTAATTTCTCTTCTTCCTTTCCCTTAAATATCAGTTCCACCTCCGGAATTTCATCGCAAATTTCTTCTGTGAAAACTGATAAGAAGTAGCTGTTCAATGCTTTGCTCATGTCTTCACTGCCATTTATCAATTCTCCCCTCCCTGACTTTAAAGGCCCAACTTTGTCCTTGACCTTTGTCCTATATACCTGGAAAAATCCCTTGGGATTCGCCTTGGATTCTCTTGCTATTTTGATTTCATAGTCTCTCTTTGCTTTCCTTACATTTTTCTTAACATTCCTAGATAGTTCATTATACCTGTTTCTGAGCTGCTCCTCCCCTCCCTTTAATTTCTTATATATTCCGTTCTTTATTCCAATGTCATGTTTAAGTTTTCTGGTCATCCACCTTGGCTCATTCTTATTTGACCTAATTTTTCTGTATGGTATATTTTGTTTCTTACAGAAAAATTAGGTTCTCCTCCAAACAAAACCTGTCTAACCTCTCAGCTACATGCCTATCCCAGCCCCAGGAAAACACACCCTAGTCCTACGTTTCCTATCTCTCACAAAAAGCCCTATCTACAAACCTCACCTGGCTGTCTAACTACCACGACCTTACTGGGCAGGGTTTGTACAACTGCCCTTTCCCTCTCCTTGCTCCATACCGTCCTGCCCTTCTCTTCCTCGCCAGCTTCCTGCAGCACCTGGTAGGGTTACTACACTCCACACCCTGGTCAGCTTTCCTGAGCCTGACCCTAGTCCCCTTGGAACAGCCACTCTCCATGCCTGCTCCTCCATCGCAGGTGTCCTGCTAGGCAGGACACCTACCTGAAGTGTTCCGTCCTAAGGGCTTCATTTTCCCCCTTTAGAGTGTCAATCTCACTCCTTAACTGTCTCATGTTTAAGTTTTCTGGTTATCCACCTTGGCTCATTCTTATTTGACCTATTTTTTCTGTATGGTATATTTTGTTCTTGTGCTTTTATGCAGTATACTAGTGAATATATTATAAGCATGATCAATTGTTGTGTCATCTATGACCTCACCCTTCCTACTGGGGACTGACGTGTGTTCCCAGGTTACCTCACCTAGGTACCTTTTAATCCCTGATAATCCGCAACCAGTTTGGGGACTCTGACCATATTGTCATTGTTTTTTGTTTCCCAATTTAGGGTGAATCTGATTTCTCTGTGATCACTGTTACCTAGTTCTTCCCCTACTATAATATCTCTGATAATATTTTCTTTTTTTGTTAATACTAGGTCTAATATATTGTCACCTCTAGTCGGTTCTGTAATTAGTTGTTTCAAATTGTCCTGTACTGCGTCTAGAGTCTTCTTATTCATAGTCACCTACAATGTGGTCCCAGTCAATATTTCTGAAGTGAAATCCCCATAATGCATAGGTTGTTATATTTTGCTGCCCTACTCATTTCCTGTCATGGGCTGAGCTGCTTCTTTGCTCAGACTTGGGGGCCTGTAAATCACTCCCATAATTAGTTTTTTCTTTCTTCCGTGATTTCTACCCATACAGACTCGGTTTCCCATTTCACCTTTATTGAATTATTAATACAACATTTAATGTATCCTTGACGAGGTGCGACCCCTCCCCCTTCCTACCTTCCCTGTCTTTGTGAAAACGGTTGTACCCTTCTATGTAGTACTCTGTTAAAAAAATTTTTGCTCGCCACATTCATCCAAGTTTCGGTGGTTGCTATGACGTCTACATTCTCGGTACATACAACAGCTTTCAGCAAGTCTATTTTATTTCTAACGCTCCTACTGTTTGTATAGTGTACATTTAAGCCTACCCTTCCCTGGTCCTGTTTTACCCTTGTCCTGAGTAACTAATTTTACTTCCCAGGACCTGCTTGTTCTTGACTCCCTTTCCCGACCTCTCTCTACTGGCGACCCCCCCTTTGGAGTGACAATTTCACTCTAGGGATCAGACAACGTCTTTACCCCCGGCCGAGACAAGTGTAATCCGTCACGACTGTACAAGTAATCGTTGCCATAGAATCGTTGCCAGCTTTCAATGAATGCCCAACCATTGTTTGCACAATGTTTTTCCAGTCGGCAATTTATAGTAATTGCCCTGGACAGCCATTCACAACCAACCCCTCTTCTAGGCAAGACACCACATACTATCGGGATCCCTCCTCATCTCTAATCTTCCCCTGCTCCCTATAACTCTTGAAAGAGTTCCTCACTCCTAACCTTTCCTATGTCGTTTCCTCCCACACTAAGACCTACATTCCCTATCCCAGCTCCAGGAAAACACACCCTAGTCCTACGTTTCCTATCTCTTTCACAAAAAGTCCTATCTAAAAACCTCACCTGGCTGTCCCCAACTACCACGACCTTACCTCTGGGCAGGGTTTGTACAACTGCCCTTTACTCTACCTGCACCACGCTTTCCTGCCTCTTCTCGTCCTCGCCAGCTTCCTCCAGCACCTAGTAGGGGTTCCTAAATCCCACACCCTGGTCAGCTTTCCTGAGCCTGACCCTAGTCCCCTTGGAGACAACCACTCTCCACGCCTGCTCCTCCTTCGCATGTGTCCTGCTAGGTCAGACTGTAAGTTGACCCAACCTTTTCACCTGGTTACAAATCTTCTTAATTACAAAATTGTCCAGTTTGTACATACCATTACTGAAATTCACGTTGACTGCTTCGGTATGTTTAATGAGACTAGATTCTATAA